CCCCGCCCACACGCACGGCCCCACCCACGCATGAGTATTTTTACGTAAAGCCACGCCCACCGCAAACACGGCCCCGCCTCCCACAGCAAGCCCCGCCTTCCCCTCAGCGATCCCCGCCTTTCCCTCAGCACCCCCGCCCCGTCCCGCCGGCCCCGCTCACCTGCAGCGCCCGCGGGTCGGTGCCGGGTCCTCCCGGGAGCCTCGGGATCGCGCTGGGCGCCAGGAACAGCGCTCGGGGCCCGTCCGCGCCGCCCGCCAGCGCCGCCCGCAGCAGCAGCGAGGTGCGGCCCGAGCCCGCCGGGCCCAGCACCAGCACCGGCAGCGGCGGTAGCGCCGCCTCCGAGCCTTCCCCCGGTGCCGCCGGGCCCAGCGCCCGCTCCAGAGCCGCCGCCATGGCAGCGGGGCCGGAGCTGCGCGGCCAATGGGATGCGCGCCTCGGCTGCGCTCAGCCAATCAGCGCACGGCTTCCCTCAGCGCTGTTCCCTCCACAGCGGTGGGCGGGGAATGTCTCAGCCAATCAGAGCAGAGCCCCCCCTCAGCGCTGTTCCCGCCAGCGCGACTCGGCCAATCAGCGCACGGCTTCCCTCAGCGCCCCTTCCCGCCCTCAGCCGCCGGGGGCGGGGCTCAGCATATTAATGAGATGCGTGGCCCCGCCCCCCGCGCGTGCGAAGGGGCGGGGCGAACACGGGGTCACGCCCACCCTCGTGCAGGGGGGGGGCACGTGAGGGTCCCCAAAGGTCACGTGAGGGTCCCCAAAGGTCACAGAAAGGTCCCCAAAGGTCATTAAGGGTCCCCTGAGGGTCCCCAAAGGCCACCCGAGGGTCCCTAAGGGTCATTAAGGGTCCCCAAAGGTCACAGAAAGGTCCTCAAAGGCCACCCGAGGGTCCTCAAAGGTCCCACAAACCCCCCCGAGGGTCCCCAAAGGTCACAGGAAGGTCCCCAAAGGTCCCCTGAGGGTCACAGGAGTCACACAAGGGTCCCCAAAGGTCATTAAGGGTCCCCTGAGGGTCACAGGAGTCACACGAGGGTCCCCAAAGGTCATTAAGGGTCCCACGAGTCACAGGAAGGTCCCCAAAGGTCATTAAGGGTCCCCTGAGGGTCCCCAAAGGTCACAGGAAGGTCCCCAAAGGCCACCCGAGGGTCACCGGAGTCACACGAGGGTCCCCAAAGGCCATGTGAGGGGCACAAGGGGCCACCTGAGGGTCCCCAAAGGCCACACAAAGGTCCCCAAAGGTCCCCCGAGGGTCACAGGAATCGCAGAAAGGTCCCCGAAGGTCATTAAGGGTCCCCTGAAGGTCCCCAAGGGTCCCCAAAGGCCGCACAAAGGTCCCCCAAACCCCCCTGAGGGTCCCACAAGTCACAGAAAGGTCCCCAAACCCCCCCGAGGGTCCCCAAACCCCTCCGAGGGTCCCCAAAGGTCACTGGAAAGTCCCCAAAGGTCATTAAGGGTCCCCTGAGGGTCCCCAAAGCCCCCCCG